CCTTTTTCTCTTATTTTTTCTTCCTCCCTTTTCCTCTCTTACTCTCTCTCCCAGTTCCTGTGGTCTGAATGTGAGCCAAAAACAACCTTAATCAAGGTTAAGATGAGTAATGCTTGGGCTACACTTCAAGAAAAGTCAAAGTGTTTAATGACATCCACTGATGTCCAGAAACTGTAAAATTCTTTATCAACTTTCTTTTCCTCCTCTAATATGTTTTCTTGTTATCAAACGTCAATATTCAAGATGCCCCAGAAATGCCTTGACCATATTCAATATTAGCATTTGGTATAATATTTATGAATATTGGAAATTTATATTTTTATTGTGAATATACAACATTTCAGCCACATTGAGTGATATAGGCTCTTATGGGGACACAAACACCATTAAGAATATTATTACTAAGAAAAATGTCAATGACAGTGTCCAACCATCAAACCTGAAACATCCTTTGAAAATCCAATCTGCAAATTGGGACTTCCAGATTTGGAAGTGTCTTTATTTCCTAAGTCTACAAGTTTCTGTAGTTTTCATACACAAGTCATTAACCAGGTGTTGGGAGAACAAGCACTGACATTTTCATAGATGCCAAGTCTATACAGGTGTTGTGCCTGTGAGTGTGTGTGCATGTAGGAAGGGATGAGGGTGCTGAAGAGATGGTTATTTTCTGTCCCCCAAACCCATGTCCTTGGCCATATAGGAGTGGGTATGTTGGAGATATTCTCCAAGCTGGCCCAACAGAGCCCCAAAGGCAGAAGGAGACCAGCTGTTGGGGAGGGAAGCCCTCCTGTCCAGAGGCTCCCAACAGCATGGAATGCCAATATGAGAGCCAAGGAGGATGCCTCCAGAGGAGAGCTGGGTAACAGAACAGGCTCCACCAGATTTTCAGTTCCCCAGATTCCCATAGCCAAAGTTATACATTTCCAGTCCCTGAGCTGGGGCATGCTGGAAATCAAAGCCCATGTACTTCTTATGACCTTCTGGACCAAAGGTTCTTCTGATACAACCAACTCTTTTGTAATCACTTATTTTAGAATGATGTTTTCAACAAGACAGTATAGGAATACAAAGGAAAACAATTAGATTGAAATACAGTTATCAAAACATTTTTTAAAAATACATTTGCTTCCCTGTTAACCCATTAAATCAGTGCTTTTCAAACTGCTGAAAAGGACTAATTTGTTTTTCCAATCCATCTTGGACTGACACCTTTTATAAAATAAAAATATGAAATAAAAAAGAATATGAAATACAAATCCCATTTTTTATTCTCAGACCCAAAGTATATTAAATTATTCTGTGAAATTGTTGTAAAAGTTTCTAAATCTTCCTTTCAATGCCTCTTCTTGCTTGGTCATGAATCTGTAAGAGTTCATGGGCTGGCACCAGTTTGTGAACCATTCTCTGAGCAGCTCTGGATTAAATAGAAGACCTAGCTCTAGGTCTAATAATGACTCTAATTTTGAAGTCGTGGTTAACATAAACAATCCGTCACTGACATGTGATATAAAAAATCTGTGAATTCCATTGATGACAAAGTTACAGTTACTGCTAATTCCATTAGACTGTGTTAGCTACTTCCGTAATAGAAGGAAATGCTAAATTTCAACTATAAATCTATAGAAATGAAGATGTAATTCTTTCCTGTCCAAGTCCACAGGCTCCCTAAAATTTTATTTCTAGACCCACATGGAGCTTTAGGTTAGGGGCCCCTGCTTTAGACAATGGAAGGGGCAGTGAAGACTAGAAAAGGAGGAAAATGACCCACACCATGCGGGAGGCTCTCCCCAGAATTTCAGCCTTCTTCCATCTGGGGTCAGAGGTTTATAGGGTTAGCATGATAGTTCTGACCAGGGAAGGAAAAACCCTGCACATGGGGTAGCTTAGGCCCTGGCTTGAGGTAAGGGGGAGATCAGCACATTTGAGCTGGATTCTATTGGAAACCAGAAGCCCAGGCAGAAAAGGTAAGGTGAGTGGCAGACACTGGGGCAGGCGGAGAAGCCGACAGCCTGAACAACAAGGCTTGCCAGCTGCCTTGGCCCCTGTAGCTCAGAGAGACATGGTGGCCTGAGCTGCCTGTAGGGAGTCTAATGGAGACCCCTATTATTTTCAGAATTGTGTTTTTCACCATTGTGCTCATCCAGGCTCAGAACCATCTCTCCTCATTCATGGACCCCATCACTGAAGGCTACCTTGTGCCAAACATGGAGGTAAACATGCCTCTTCTAGTTCAATCCTAAAAGCCACATAATGAGAATATGTGTTCTCATTATCCCCACTTTACAAGAGGGGAAGCAGGTTGAAGACCACACAGCTAACTGGACAGTAAGCAGCATTGCTGGGACTTCCACTGGGACCCTCTGAAGGCAGAGCATGAGAGGACTCCATGCCCCTTACATGCCAAATCCTTTGTTCACTGGGAGCACTGCAGGCAAGTTCTGCTAAGCACACTCAGGTGAATTAGATCTCCTGGCTGGGAAGTGCAAGGAAAGAAATAGCCCTTCCCTTTTGACATTTCTTGTATAGTGTGCATTTTACAACAGCACACATTTTGTTTTACTTTATTTAAGGAATAAATATCTACATGAGGCCAACAACATGAGATGGCTGGCTGCAGGATGGCTGGTGTTGGCATCCAGGTCCCCACTGGGCACTGGAATGTTTCCAAGGGCACTTAAGGGCTTGATGTAGCTCAAGATTCTACAATTGGGGCTAACAGTGCCCCCTAGAGGGCTTGGGGCTGCACTGCTTTTCCCAGGGTCAGGCTTTGGTGGGAGTTGAGGTGGGTAGGGTTTTGTTTCACAGGAAATGGGGCAGCACCTGAAAGTAGCCACCACAAAACCAGAGAACACCAGAGGCAACCAAGATTTAATTCATCCACAGGTGGGCAGGTAGCTCATGGGCTACCTTGATTAGCAACCATAAGTAAAGAGAAGAAAGAAATGCCCAAGGGCTGTCCCAGAGGCATACTGGAGAGTGCTTTAGGACCTTGTCCCTCGGGCTTTTCTTGGGTCCTAAGGACCAAGGGACAAGGTTAAGGCTAAATTTCCGCAGTTTAGTCACTGCCTGTGTGATGCTCACACTGCGTGATGCTCCACATTTCCAGATGGCAACTGTTGAGAGGATGAAAGTGAAAGCATTTTGTCTTCATGGTTAGGTCTGGTTATTATTGTCAATACATAAAGCACAGCCTGTTTTCTAGGCTTTGTCTCTTTCTTTTCTCACTGACTATCAGGAATAGGAATAGGCATGGTTGGTCCCTATAAAGGCTTGCAGGTTCCTTATTTTAAGGTACAGCAGTGGGAGCCCACATAGCTACAAAGGCTCAATTTCAAAGGAAGCTGCTGTCCTCTCTCTGGGAAACCAGGGATTCTGTGGCAAAAAAATTCTTAAAATAAAAGCTGAGAGGTGACATGATGGACAAAGAACAGGAAAAAGACAAGGATACCTGTTTTCATCACTGCTGTTTAATGTTGTACCAGAAGTCCTAGCCAGAGCAAGTATTCAAGAAAAAGAAAAAAAAAAAAAAAGGTAGACATATTGGAAAAGAATAAATAAAACATGTGATATAAAAAATCTGTGAATTCCATTGATGACAAGGTTACAGTTATATAATTAGTTACTAGGGAAATCCATATCAAACCCTCAATGAGCTATTACTTTATATCCACTATGGTGGCTATAATCAAAAAACAAAAAGTAAGTGGAACATGTACATTGTTAGTGGAAATTAAAAATGGTTGAACAACTGAGGAAAACAATTTGGTAATTCTTCAAAAAGTTAAACAGAATTACCACATGACCCCACAATTACACTACTAGATATATACACCAAAATATTGAAAACAGGTATTCCAACAAGTTCATGTATACACATATTCATGGCAGCACAATAGCCGAAAGATGGAAACAGCACAAATACCCATCAATAGATAAACAAATTACAAGTTGATGTATATACATATAATGGAATATTATTCAGCCATAAAAAGGGATGAAGTATTGATATAAGGTACAATGTGGATGAACCTCCAAAACATTATGCTAAGTGTAAGAAGCCAGGCACATAAGATCACGTATTGTATGATTCCATTCATATGAAATATCCAGAAGAGATAAACTCATAGAGACAGGACACCAATTGGTGGATTTTGGGGACGATAGGGAGGGAATAATGGGGAGAAACAACTTAATGGGTAAGAGGCTTTACTTTGGACTGATGGAAATGTTTTCAACTAGGCAAAGGTGGTAGTTGCATAATATCGTGAGTACACTAAATGCCACTAAATTATTCACTTTAAAATGGTTAATTTTATGTTATATAAATTTTACCTCAATAAATTATCTTAAAAAAGAAAAAGCAAGAGCTGAGGACTTGGGGTTGCTGAACCATTGCCGCCTGTGGTGTAGTACGTAACATGTAACAATTTTTTAATGCACAAAACAATACCTAGTGGCAGGTCAGAGAACCTCCCTGATTTTAAAATAGTGATGAGCACAAACAGTATTTTGGGATAGCTATAAGAACCATAATACAATGAAGGACCTGTAATTTCTACTGGCAGCAAAGTCACAGGTACTGTTAATAGTTGCTTATGTTCACCCTAAAAGGAAACACTAAATTTTAGATATAGGTTAATGGAAATTAAAATTGAGAAAAAAAATTTTATCTTCCTAGATTATGAACCTCTAGACTAGAAACCCTTGTTCTAGGGTGGTAAGAATTGGAAAAAGATGACCGGAATTCACTACAGAAGAAAGGTAACTGCTGTTCCCAACTGGTACTGACCTCTTAAATCAGGGGTCAGCAAACTACAGTCCACAGGCCAAATCCAGTCCACCAGCTACTTTTTCAAATAACGTGTTTTTGGAATACAGCTGTGCCTTCTGATTTACATATTGTCCGTGACTACTTTCACACTCTAACAGCACAGTTGAGTAGTTGAAACAGAAACCATATGGCCTGCAAACCTAAAATATTTACTATCTGGTTCTTTCAGAAAATATGGTTGCTGATCCCTGCCTTCAAGGAATGATGACCAGTTTCCTGGAGACTCACAGCCTCTCAGCAGAGACCACAGGTAATTGGTCAGACTGTAAACTGCAGGAGGTACCCTGTGCACACGAGTAAGTAGCGCTGACATCTAATACACCTCTAATTGGAAATGGCAAATGTTCACTAACACAAAAAAATTAAAATTAAAAATTTATCTTTCACAAGCCCAAGCAAAACAGAGTAAATGTACTCCAATGTGTCCCTGCCACTAAGTACAACTGTAAAACCTAGAGAGAGTTCATGGAGCAACTATTTGAGGACCCTGAAAAGGAAATAGCAGCAGGCAGATGGGGAAGATCAGTATTCTAGGTGTGCATTAGTGCCAACAGAGAGAGATTCAGGAAAAATCTGCTAGCTCTTGATAAAGGAGTGGGAAATATCTCCCAATGCTTAGTCAGAGTAGGGAAATTCCTTGTTGTTATTGTTTCTTTTATCCATTCTCTCACACCCAATAATCTAACCAGTTTTCCATTGTGGTGGTGGCCATGACAATAATGTCAGTGGAACCTAAAACTCTAAGGAAGGGTGTACTAGAGTTCTTCAGAGACACAGAACTGATAGGAGAGAAAGAAAGAGAGAGAGAGAGAGAGAGAGAGAGAGAGAGAGATTTATTATGGGAATTGATTCATGTGGTTATGGAGGCTGTCCTCTGATACATCATCTGCAAGCTGGAGAACCAGAAAAGCCAGAAGTGTAATTCAGTATGTGTCCTCAGACCTGGCAGGGAGTCAATGGTGTAACATCAATAGAATAAAAGGAGAGTGAGTTTTTGGTTTTTGTTTTTTTAAGTCATGCAAATGTCTGTATTCTGTTTCTTGTGGTAGTGGCAAGAATCTATGTATGTATTAAAATTGACATTGCTTCTGAATCCCAAAAAGTCAATTTTATTCTATGTTATTAAAAAAATAAAATGTTAGCCTCTCAAGAAGTAATGTCAGCAAGATGGCAGAATAAAAGTTTCCAGGGCTCATTCTCTCACAGAAACATCAATGTGAACAACTATTCATGCATGAAAATACCTTCACAAGAACTAAGGAATCCAGGTAAGAGATTATAGTACCTAGGTGGAACATGGAAACAAAAAGAGACATATTGAAGAGAGTAGAAAGGATAGCTTTACCCATGTTACCCCTTCCCCAAATGCAGGCAACACAGTGAGGAGAGAGATTCTCTCTGAGTCAGGGAAAGAGAGTGAGGTGAGCACCCAATTTCATCATGGACCCTAGTACCAGGCCCACTCCAGTAAATCCCAGCACTAGGCTTGCCTCTGCAATACAAGACTTCAGGCCTACCCCAATACCAAGCCAGCCCCTGAAACTCCAGGTTCCAGACCTGCCCTCACAAATTCAGGCACCAAGCCAGCCCCTGTAGACCCAAGCACCAGGCCAACCCACCGGAGGATTCCAGCAGCAAGCTTACCAAAACTTCACCAGGCAGGCTTCCCAGAATCTCTGGACAGGCTTACTGGTGAAGGAATTTCCCTGCTAAATCCAGTCTGCAAGAACGGAAGGGGTGCCTACTTCTTCAAATACACAGACAACAATGCAAGGCCACAAGGATAAAGAATAATTGGAGAAACATGGCACCATTAAGGAACTAAATAAGGCACCAATAACAGACCCTAAAGGAATGCAGATCCACAACTGTCTGACAAAGAATTCAAAATAACTGTTTTAAAGAAGTTCAGTGAGCTGTAAGAGAACACAGATAGACAACTAGACCAAAAAAATCAGGAAAACAATACATGAACAAAATTGGAAATTTTACAAAGAGATATAAACCACAAAAAAGAACCAAACAGAAATTTGGGAGTTGAACAGCACAATGATTAATCTGAAAAATTCAATAAAGGACTTCAACAGAAGATTCAATTAAGCAGAAGGAAAAAAATCAGTGAGTCTGAAGACAGGTAATTTGAAATTCCTCAGTTAGAGAAACAAAAAGAAAAAATAATGAAAAAAGTGAAGAAAGTCTACAGGACGTATGGGACACCACGAAGCAAACCAATATGATAACTCACATCATGAGAGTATCACAAGGAGCAGAGAGAGAGAAAAGGACAGAAAGTTTATTTAAAGAAACAATAACAGAAGGAAAAAAAGCTAATAATAATCAAATTAGAAATAAATGATATATAGACTAGAAAAACAATAGAAAATATCAATAAAACTAAAAATAATTTTTAAAAAAGAAACAAAATTGACAAATTTTAGCTAAATTAACTTAAAAAAGAGAGAAGATTTAAAATCAGAAATGAAAGCATAAATATTACAACTGATATTACAGAAATATGAAAGATTGTAAGAGACTGCAAAGAACAATCATACCCTAACAGACTGGATAACCTAGAAGAAATGAAGACATTTCTAGAAAAATACAAGATACCGAGACTAAATCATAAAGAAATAGAAAATATGAGCAGACCAATAATGAGTAAGGAAATTGAAACCAAAAACCTCACAACAACAACAAATCCAGAAATATGTGGTTTCATTGGTAAATTCTACCAAATCTTTAAAGAAGAATTAACTTCATTTCTTCACAAAATCTTCCCAAAAATTGAAGAGGAGGAAACTCTTCCAAACTTATTTTATGAGGCCAGGATTACTCTAATATTAAAGTCAGACAAAAACACTGTAAGAAAAGAAAACTACAGGTTAATATCCTTGATGAGCAGTAATGCAAAAATCCTCAACAAAATACTAGCAAACTAAATTCAATAGTACAGTAAGAAAGTCGTATATCATGATCAAGTGATACCTCTAGGATTCAAGGATGGTTCAATATGCACAAATTAATAAATGTGTTACACCATGTTAAGAGAAAGAAAAATAAGAATCACATGATTATCTCCATAGATACAGAAAAAGTACTGGACAAAATTCAACAACTTTTCATTATAAACACACTCAACAAACTAGGTATAGCAAGAGTGTACTTCAACATAGTAAAGGCCATTTATGACAAACCCACAGCTGACATCATACTCAATGGTGAATAGTTGAAAGTTTTTCCTCTAAGCTCAGAAACAAGAAAAGGATATCCACTCACATCACTTCTATTCAATACAGTACTGGAAGTCCTAGACAGAGCAATTAGGCAAGAAAAAGAAATAAAAGGCAGCCAAATTGGAAAGGAAGAAGTAAAATGATCTCTGTTTAGAAATGACATGATCTTATATATAGAAAACCCTAAAGACTCCACAGAAAAACAGTTAGAACTAATAAAAAAAACTCAATAATGTTGTATGATACAAATCAACATAGAAAAATCAGTGACATTTCTATACACTAACAACAAACTATCAAAAAAAGAATTAAGAAAACAATCCCATTTGTAATAGCATTAACAATACTTAGAAATAAATTTAACTGAAATGAAAGATCATTACACTGAAAACTATAAAACATTGATGAAATAACAGAAAGATAGCCCATATTCATGAATTGGAGGAATTAATAGTGTTAAAATGTGCATACTTACCCAAAGCATTCTGAAGATTTATTGCAATCTCTGTCAACATTTCAATGGTATTTTTTTTTTATCAAAATAGAAAAAACAATTCTAAAATTTGTATGGGACCACAAAAAACTTGAATAGCCAAAGCAATCTTGAGCAAGAACAAAGCTGGAGGCATCACACAAAATATACTACAAAGTTATGGTAACCAAAACAGCATAGTACTGTCATAAAAGCATACATACAGATCAATGGAACAGAATAGAGAGCCCAGAAATAAATCAGGCATTTACAGTCAATTAATCTTTGACAAAAGTGCCAGGAATGTACAGTGGGGAAAAGAAAGTCTCTTTAACAAATGGTGTTGGAAAAACTGGATATCATAATCAGAAAAATAAATTTGCACCCTATCTTATGCCATATACAAAAATCACTCAAAATAAATTAAATACCTGAAACTATAAGATTCCTAGAAGAAAACAAAAGAAAATCTTCTTGACATTGGTTTGGATGGTGACTTTTTGAACACAGGCAACAAAAGTAAAAATAAATGAATGAAATGACATCAAACTGAAAAGCTTCTGTGCAGCAAAGAAAACAATCCCTAAAGTAAAGAGACAACTTGTGGAATGGGACAAAATATTTACAAATCATATATCTGATATGGGGTTCTATTAAAAATGTATAAGGAACTCAAACAACTCAATAGCAAGAAAACAAACAAACGTTTCTCTGAAGAAAACATACAAATAACCGACAGGTATATGAAAAAATGCTAAATCGTTAATCACCAGGGAAATACAAATCAAGACCACAAAGAGATAACACTTAATACCTGTTAAAATGGCTATTGTGAAAAAGACAAAAGCTAAGCGTTGATGAGGATGTGGAGAAAAAGGAACCCTCATGCGCTGTTGGAGGAAATGTGCACTGGTACAGTCACTATGGAGAACTCTATGGTGGTTCCTCAATAAATTGAAAACAGAACTACTATATGATCCAGCAATCCCACTTCTGGGCGTATATCCAAAGGAAATGAACTCAGTATCTCAAAGAGATATCGGCAATGTTCCTTGCAACATCATGTACAACAGCCAAGATATGAAACCAACCAAAGTATCCATTGTTGGAAAAATAAATTTTAAAAATTGTGGGGTATATAAATATAGATATATCTCTATCTGTGCCTCTCTCTCTCTGTCTTTCTCTCTCACACACACACACACACACACACACATACATATAGACACATACACACATCTTGGAATATTATTCAGTCTTTCAGTAGAGGGAAAACCTACCATTTGTGACAACAAAGGTTAAACTGGAGGACATTATGCTAAGTGCAGTCAGTCAGACACAGAAAGGCAAGTTTTGCATGATGTCACTTAGATGTAGAATCTTAAAAAGTTAAACTAATAAAAGCAGAGTAGAAAATTGGTTACCAGGAGCTAGACAGTCGGGGGATGGCAAGATGTTGGTCAAAGGGTGCAAAGTTCAGTTATGTAGGATGAATGAGGACTGGAGATCTACTGCACAGCATGCGAACTATAGTTTGCATTGTAG